TTTTAAGTATCTAAAATGGTTTTCAAGTTTTTGAGTAAAACCAAAATTTTGTACCCGCCCTAACCTCGTACGTACTACCTAAAAGCTTCAAAGCAAAATTTTGCATCGATGCTAATTTCCAAACTAATTTTCTCTGCACAAATAACTCGTAGAAAAAAATTAAATATACCAAAAAAAGCTAATTTCATACGCTACAATTTGCTTCGAAAACTTTTTCAGTAAACTTCATATTTTCAAATTTTTTAATAAAACCAAAACTTCCTACCTTGTCACCAGTCTCCTCGTCCAACACCAAATCTGCAAAGAAAAATAAACTTACATTAATTTTGTAAATAAATTCCAGCTCAATCCATAACTACTATTTACCAAAAACAATTTCCATTAAATCCTTACTATTTCTAGTACAGTAAACAATAATTTTATTAAACTAAATCATTTTAATTAAACCTTTGAAAATTAATTTTCTCAGTAAGTACATTCCAAACATTTGCATCAAACAGAAACTAAATCTCGTTAAAATCGTTGATTGAAATATCTTTGAGGTAAAGGATTGTTTATTGCATTTTCCTATTGGCAAGTAACATTAAAGGAAAATACTTGCTTTGACACAAGTTAAATTAAAGATTTTCCCAGAATTATCATAGAAACCTAAATATTTCAACTATCCACCAAAATATTTTATTCAAAGTAATACAAATAATTTACAGAATCCTTTACTTTTTTGTCCTTTCAAAAAGTTCTAAATTTATACATTGATATTAATCAAAGGATAGGAAATATCCTTCAGGAAATAAATCACAAAATGATTTTCATATTTCATATTTCATTGAAACAAAAGACTTTTTGTCCAGAATTGTCAACGAGTGGGCGATGGAATTTAAATGAGGGAAAATTATAATATTAATTGAATTTAATTAATTTTGAAAAGTTTTTGAATTTAGTAATGTTTTTGAATATGTCTACTATAAGGACAAATATTAAAATGAATATTTTAGTTGACCTATATTCATTATCTTTATTATAAGTCAATTGATTTTGAAGAAAATCTCAAAATAATAAATTATTTTATCATATTGATTTTATTACAAAATCAAATAACAGAATATTTTTTAATTTATTCATTGAATTGTTTATTTTTTTATTTACTTATAAAATACAATTAGTTCTACATTTATTTCTTTATTAATCCATCAATAATTTTTTCAATATTTTATTCTTTAAGAATTTCCTAATTTAATTCTTGATAAACCAGATGATTCATTATTATTAATTAACGAATTAACTAATTTACTAATTAATTAATTATTTAATTGAATAACTAATCATTAATTGAAATTAATTGATTAATTAATTTAAAGCTGACAAATGCTTAATTATTATAAATTAATTAATTAATTAATTAATTAACTAATTATTAATTAAAATTAATTGATTAATTAACTAAAAAAAATTTTTTTAATCTAATTTGCTAATTATACACTCATAGATGATTCATTATTATTAATTTACTAATTAATCAATCAATTGATTAACTAATTATTAATTAAATTATTTGATTAATTATTAAAAAAAAACATTTTTTTAAATCTAATTTACTAATTATACACTCCAATTATTAATTAATCAATCAATTATTTAATTTATTATTTATTTTATTTTATTAGCTCTTCGTTCACTTATTTATTTATTCATTTATAAATTAATCATTGATAAATAAATCAATTTATTTATTCATCCGTTTATATATTCATTAATTTATTATTTACTTATTCATTTAATTTATTTATTACTTGTTTATTCATTTATTTAATTTAATTATTATTTTTATTTATTTATTAATGCATGCCTTCATTTATTTATTTATTCATTGTATTAATTATTCATTTAATTACTTTATTTACTTGTTATTTATCTATTCATTTTTTATTATTTATTCAATTATTTATATTTCTGTTTATTACCAATTTACAAATTTATTTATTACTTAATTTATTAAGTTATACATTTATTTTTAACTTATTAATTCATTTATTTGTTTAGTTATTTGTTTATTTATTTATTTAATTTAATTATTATTTTTATTTATTTATTAATTCATACCTTCATTTATTTATTATTCATTGTATGAATTATTCATTTAATTATTTATTTCTTATTTATTTAATTACTTTATTTATTAATTTATTTACTTTTTTATTTATCTTTTCATTTTTTTGTCATTAATTTAAATATTTATTTATTGATTGATTTATTTATTTTAATTATTATTCATACTTTTATGCATTTATTTATTTTTTTCTTCATCCATTTATTTATTCATTAATTTATTTGTTCATACATTTATTAATTTCTTTGTTTATTTATTCATTAATTTATTTTTTATTTATCAGTAATTCATTTTTTATTTGGTCTTTATTCATTTATTAAATTATTCAAATATTTATTTAATAAATAGTTCATTCATTAATTTATATATTTATTAATTAATTAATAAAAAATAAATTAATCATTTAATCAATTAATCAATTAATATATTTATTTATTTATATATTTTATTTTTGATTTTTTTATTTATTTTGATATTCACTACTTTGTCTATCTATTTTACTATTTATTTATTAATTAATGGATCTATTTAATTAAATATTTATCTAGTTATTTATTTATTCCTTCAATAATTTAATTAATTATTTTCTTATTTAATTATATTTCGGTTCTCTTATTAATATTTTTTATTTATTTATTTTCAGTATATTTTACTTATGCATCTAATCATTTATTTATTTATATATTTTTATTAATCTATTTATTTATTTAGTTATCCATTTTGTATTAAAAAAAAACTAAATACAAATAATAATTAATTTAAATAAATAAACTAGCTGTAAGTGGAATTCTGTCTTGAGGCATTTATGGCATCGTGCCTTAAGGCAAATTGCTGGAACTTCCCGTACCGAAATGTTCGAGGAATACTGAATGTTTTCAAATAGATTATTATAAATATTGTAACATTGTCTAATATTTATGAGAATTATATAAACTGAATTGCAGAGTTGAAAATATTTGTAAAGTATATTAGAACTATAGCCAGAATTAAAAAAAATCTGAAATATTTTTGATAAAACTAAAAAAAAAAAAAAAAAAAAAAAAAAAAAAAAAAATTGAACAAATTTTTTTTTCCAAAATCAATTATTTTGTTAAGACAAGCAGAAAGTTCTTTGAATCATTTAAATCGGACGCTTAGTTCTCTCAAAAACTGCCATTTTTTACATATTTAGCTCCATATCTTCGAAATGGCTGGGCCTGCCTTTGCCAAAAACTAATAAGCACTTCTCCCAATCATTACTAATTGAATGCTTTTTAGATCATTCAAATCAGATACTCCGTTCTCTCTCAAAAATCGATTTCTATTTTCTGCACTCTTTGCTCCGTATCTCCGAAACGGCTGGACCTGCCTTTGCCAAAAACTAATCAGCTCTTTTCCCTATCAATAGGAATCGAATGTTTTTTGAACCATTCAAATCGGTTGATCCGTGCGCCCTAAAACGTGACTGGAAATTTGTATCCATACATACATACACACACACACACACACACACACACACACACACACATCCATTTTTTCTGAGGTATGCCAAAACGTTCAAAAACCTTCAAAACGTCGAGAAATGTTAAAATTTTCAATTCCGATTTTCGGCCCATTACAATAACTTACCCTACGGGAAGTTAATAAACGAATAAATAAATCATTAATTAAATGAATAAGTAAATAATTAAATTAATGAATATATAAGCGGACGAAAAAAAAATTAGCTTTATTCTGTATTTATTTCTGATTGTTTTATACAGCTAAATGTTATTTAATTAATCCTTTCAATTTATCTAACAATTTATTTAACAATTTATTTATGTTTTTGTATATCTGTCTATTTAATTATCATTTATCTGTTTTTTTTTGTCTTTTTAATTTCAATTTTTTTCCTCATTTTTCTCCACAGTTGTCCCAAGTGTTTTACAACGCTTCCAATTTGTCAGGATTTGTGAGTTTCTTTTGATAATTTTTAAAAAAAATCTCATTTGGGATTGGGAAGAATTAACCAGGGACAGGAAACTCAAACAAATTTGACATGATTTGAGATAAAATACCAATATCATAATTCATCAAAATCTTCACAATTGAACCATTCAAATTCACCATTCCCAAATTGCATAATTTTTAAACTATCAATTGCTTTATCAAAATAGTCAGGAGAATGATATCTTGTAATCACTTGCTACCATTTTAACCATACTGCAGTCTATCATTGGTGCAATTCATATTTTTGTCATCACATTTGGGCTCTAATGCCATACATCCTAAACTTTTGCTAAATTTCTGAAACAAAAAACTGATCGTCTAGTATTTGGCAAACTCTGCAATATGCATCTAGCATATATCAAGTCAACCTTTTGCTATCATCCAGAACTTACCAGAAACTTGCTTTCATCTAAAACTCACCAGAACCTTTTGCAATCATCTAAGATTCACCAGAAACTCCTGCTACCATCTAAGGCTCACCAAAAACTATGATCAAAGTCTTCATTATCATCAGCATCCTTAATTTTCCTTCAAAATTCATCAAAAATCTATCAATTATATTATTTTTAGGCTCATCTGCCATACCAATGGCAACCAACAATCGTCCCAACCCAACTTTTAATGATAGGAGACGTTGCCCTGGTGGCAATTCCTGGTGAATTCACCACAATGGCTGGCAGAAGGATGAGGGATGCTGTTCGAATTGCCCTTAAGGAAGCAGGAGGCCCTGAAGCCCTTGTCGTAATCGCAGGATTGAGTAACACTTATACTGACTATGTTGTCACTCCTGAAGAATACCAGGTAAGGGATAAAAATAGTAAAGGACTCTTGATTTGCTTCTAGGGTTGACCCTAAAGACCATCACTGGTCCTTAGGGATTAACCATCAACTTCCCTTAGGGTGGTTCTAGTAATGGGCCAAAAATCGAAAATGAAAATTTTTGCATTTTTCGACGTTCTGAAGGTTTCTGAACACTTTGGCTTACCTCAGAAACTAAATGGATGTATGTTTTGTATGTCCATGTTTTCGGGCGCACGGATCAACCGATTTCAATGATTCATTTACCATTCGATTCCTATTGATAGGGACATGTGCTGATTAGTTTTTCGCAAAGACAAGTCCAGTCGTTACGGAGATACGGAGCAAAGAGTGCAGAAAATACAAATCGAGTTTTTGAAAGAAACACTAACTAAACGCACTCTTTATGGTTTATTTACATTTTATCAAATGCAATTCATAGTTTTTGCTAGGGTTTTTAAAGTATACTGAGATGCTATAGGGTCTTACTATGTTAGACAATATTATTTAGAATTTAATTTTATACAAATTTTCCTAATACATCATTTATTTTTAACAAATATTTTAAGAGTTATTCAAGATGTAATAAATAAATGCGCTCCGGATAAATAAAATTAGACGAATTTAGACTATTCCGGATTATTTTATTAGAAAAATTGTTAGAGTGTCTAATTTGGTATAAATTCACTATTAATATTTGTATATATTTATTTTATTATAACTAAAAATAAATGTAACCAATGAAATGTTACAATGGCTAATAACTAGATACTGAAATTTTAACTTTATTAAATTTTAACTGTAATTTTTCTTATTTAATTTTGTTCAAAAAATTTTTAAATGTTATAAACAGATGATATATAATAAAATACATGTTGTGTGATAAATTGTTACTAATATTATTATTATAACTATAAATAAATGTAACCGATAAAATCTAACAATGGCTAATAACTAGATACTAAACTTTAAATTTCACTTTTTTTTACATTGAGTTTTAAAACATTATATACTTTAAACGGAGTATCGGATTTGAATGATCTAAAAAACATTCAATTTTTAATGATTGGGAGAAGAGGCTATTAGTTTTTGGCAAAGGCAGGTCCCGTCATTTCGAAGATACGGAGCTAAGTGTGCAAATAATGGCAGTTTTTGAGTCCGATTTGAATGATCTAAAAAACTTTCTGCTTGTATTGACAAAACAATTGCTTTTGAGGATAAAATTTATTATTACATCTTTTTTCATTTTCCATAAAATATTTATGTAATTTTGGATTAAAAATTCAGAAATTCACCCAGTCTAAGCACAGTATAAGTGTAAATGTCGCACAGAATTATTTGCAAATGCAATGCATTTAGACTGTGACTATACGGGAGCACTTTTTCAATTTTGTGTAAATTAGGCAACTGTTTTTTGGAAATTGAATTCGAAATGAAATGACGATTGTTAATGTTCTAGAGATAAATTGATTGATTTATAATTTACATTTGCTTTGCTCAGATATAAAAAGATAGCAAAAATAATGAAAGTTATAGTAATTGTAATAATATATTTGAAAACGTTTAAAAATTCTCGAATATTTCAAGACAAGAATATTCCTAGACAAGATTTTTAGAATATATTTTTTAAAAATAAGTTTTGACATTTTTTTGTAAATGAGCAGAGTTGCTTTTTTAAGGTGATTTTAGTATTTCTGAATATTTTAGAATATTGTTCAAATACAAAAAATATGAAACTGCCCAAAAGTTTACTAGTAAAATTATGAAAAATCAAATTATTCACAAGGACCCTGGGCCTTCTCCATTATTTCTAAATGATGATGATTAATATAACTTTAAGTTAAGAATTTTTTCTCAATGTGTAGAGTGAGTTGGTATATTTGTGTAAATATGACTTTGCTGAAGTATTGTTTAAATGTAAAAAATATGAAAGTATCTTGAAAAGTATCTCTAAGGGAATTTTTAAAAATTCATAGAATCCTGTTTTGAAAAAATCCAACTACATTGTTCATGTTCTCGGGTTTGTAGTTTATTTCTGAAGCAATAAAAGAATAAATAGTCTTAGTAAAGATTTTAGAAAATTTTATCTAGATTTCATTGTGTTCTGACCAAAAAACTCTATCTTAATCAAAAAAAAAGTTACGTTAGAAAACATGAAAAATGAACAGTGCATACTTGAAGGCAACATCAAATGCTTTTTGGTATAAAAGTCGACTTAAATTTTGTTCATGTTCTCGGGTTTGTAGTTTATTTCTAAAGTTAAAAATATAGTCTTAACAATTTATTTAGGAAATTTTATCTAGATTTTATCATCCTTAGACCAAAATTATCTATCTTGTTGCAGAAATAAGTTATATTAGCAAAACCCAAAAATGTGCTGTCTAAGCCATCAACAATTTTGTGAAAACTATTGAAAAATGTGAAAATGCCGCCAAACTAAGCACAGTTTAAGTGAAAATGTCGCACAGAATTATTTGCAAATGCGTTTAGACTGTGACTGTGCGGGAGCAAATTAGACAACTATTTTTTTTTGAAGTTGAATTCGAAATGAAATGACGATTGTTAATGTTCTGGAGATAAATTGATTTGATGATTTACATTTGATTTGCTCAAATATAACAAACAAGATAGCAAAATTAATGAAAGTTACAGTATTTGTAATAATATATATGAAAACGTTTAAAATTTCTCGAACATTTCATACAGTACGGGAAGTTTCAGCAATTTGCCTTAAGGCACGATGCCATACACCACTAGTTTGCTTTTAGGGTTGACCATCACTGGTCCTTAGGGATCGATGTTTTTTTTATTGATTTTTACCTTGTCATAAAAACTGATTTGGCATTTAGGAAGTCACTCAGTCAAACATTTTCCACGGTAGTAAATTCATGGAAAGTTCGGAGATTTGTGCTCGTTAATTTAACGATCAGGGTAATTAATCCAATGAGGTCATCCTGATGATGATGATGGTCTCTGTTTTGGATTGAGGAAATTAGGGAAAAAATCGATGGGAACATACGTTGACGCAGGCGTAGAAAAAAACTAGTGGTGTATGGCATCGTGCCTTAAGGCAAATCGCTAAAACTTCCCGTACTGTAATGAAATATTCGAGAAATTTCAAACGTTTTCAAATATATTATTACAAATACTGTAACTTTCATTATTTTTGCTATCTTGCTATATCTGAGCAAATTAAATCTAAATCATAAATCAATTTATCTCCAGAACATTAACAATCGTCATTTCATTTCGAATTCAATTTAAAAAAAAAATAGTTGCCTAATTTACACCAAATTGAAAAAGTGCTCCCGTATAGTCACAGTCTAAACGCATTTGCAAATAATTCTGACATTTTCACTTATACTGTGCTTAGCTTGGCGGCATTCTCACATTTTTCAATAGTTTTTCACAAAATTGGGAAAGTGCTCCGTACATAAAACAGTCTAAACGCACTTGGGTAAACATTTGTACCAGAGTGGCGCTTAGACTGTGCTTAGTCTCGGTAATTTTTTGAATTTTCAATTCAAAATTACAAAAAATATTTTATTGGAAATAAAAAAAGATGTAATAATTTTTTATCCTCAAAAGCAATTGTTTTGTCAATACAAGCAAAAAGTTTTTTAGATTACAAATCGGACGCTTAGATCACTCAAAAACTGAAATTTTTTGCACATTTAGCTCTGTATCTTCGAAATGGCGGGACCTGTCTTTGCCAAAAACTAATCACCTCTTCTCCCAATCATTACAAATTGAATGTTCTTTAGATCATTCAAATCCGATACTCCGTTTAAAGTATATAACGTTTTAAAACTCAATGTAAAAAAGTGAAATTTAAAGTTTAGTATCTAGTTATTAGCCATTGTTAGATTTGATCGGTTACATTTATTTATAGTTATAATAAAATAAATACATACAAATATTAATAGTGAATTTATACCAAATTAGATGCTTTACCAATTTTTCTAATAAAATAATCCGGAATAGTCTAAATTCGTCTAATTTTATTCATCCGAAGCGCATTTATTTATTACATATTGAATAACTTTTATAATATTTCTTAAAAATAAATGATATATCAGAAAAATTTGTATAAAATTAAATTCTAAATAATATTGTCTAACATAGTAAGACCCTATAGCATCTCAGTATACTTTAAAAACCCTAGCAAAAACTACGAATTGCATTTGATAAAATGTAAATAAATCATAAAGAGTGCGTTTATTTAGTGTTTCTTTCAAAAACTCGATTTGTATTTTCCGCACTCTTTGTTCCGTATCTCCGTAATGGCTGGACCTGCCTTTGCCAAAAACTAATCAGCACATCTCTCTATCAATAGGAATCGAATGGTAATGGTAATCATTCAAATCGGTTGATCCGTGCGCCCGAAAACGTGGACATACAAAACACACACACATCCATTTTTTCTGAGGTATGCCAGTAAAATGTTCAGAAACCTTCAGAACGTCGAGAAATACAAAAATATTCATTTCGACTATTATTCCCCAGTTGTGATTATTATTACATGTCATTAAATATATGCATTAGCGTTTTTTTATATGTTTTTAGTCCGAGAGGTGGAGACACCTCCGCCCGACCATAATTAGGTCATCACGAGGTATTAATTATACCAAGTTAATGCGTTTTGTACATGGAAAATAAATTATGAGGGAAAAAAGACTAAGGGGAAAGATTTTATGATAAACCACTGTTGGGTTTTATGTGTTTATGCTTTTTAAGGCAGTTTTGGTTTTTGCCAGAAAATCCTACTTGCTGATTTCAGACTTTGACGAAACGAAATTGAATAAGGAAATTTAGTTACTGACTTTTCTGATGCAATTTTTAAGTATATAGAGTGTTGTATGGTCTTGAGATGTTAGAAACTTTGTTTTGTTATTTAACAATACAAATTTTCTTTGAATATTTATAACAATTTAATTAAATAGTTTAAAAGTTACAGAGGATCAACCAATTACGAGGATTATGGATTGATTTATCTAATTATTATTGTCAAAGGCAATTTTTTGGTACACCGAGTTGCTGTAGGGTCTTGAGATGTTAGAAACTTTTGTTTATTGTTTAATTTTCTATACTTTCTTTAAATATTTGTAGTTATTTAAACTAATAGTTTAGAAGTTACAGAAGACGAAACAAAAAAATGCACTTTCTTAAATAGTGTCTAGCATAGCATAGGTTCTGTTCTTTGTTTTCGAATGCAATTTTTTGGTATATCGAGTTGCTGTAGGTTCTTGTGATGTAAGAAACTTTTCTTTATTGTTTAATTTTCTACACTTTCTCTAAACATTTATATTAATTTAAACAAATAGTTTGAAAGTTACAGAAAAACCAAACAAAAAAATGCACTCTTTCAAACGGTGATTAGCATAGGTTCTGTTCTCTATTTTAAAATGCGATTTTCGTGTATACTAAGTTGCTGTAGGATCTTATGATATTCAAAATTTTTCTTTATTATACAATTTTATAAACTTTCTTCAAATATTTCATTTTTTTTGATGAAGTAGTTTAAAAATTACAATCGATCAAACGAAAAAGTACAACTTTGCCTAAATATTCCACGTAATAGTAATAATGAAAGTAAGTTAAATGCTGATTTTTGGAAGTGATTTTAGTGTATACCGAGTTGTTGTAGGGCCTTGAGATGTTAGAAACTTTTCTCTATTGTTCAATTTTCTATACTTTCTTTGAATATTTTTTAAATTTAAACAAATAGTTTAAAAGTTACAAAGAATCAAACAAAAAAATACACTTTTTCAAGTGTTGGCTAGCATAAATTTAGTTTTTCATTTTCAAATGCGATTTTGAAGTATACCGAGTTGCTGTAGAGTTTTATAATATTAAAAAATATTTTATAATATTTAATTTAAACAAATCTCTCTTACACATTAATAAAATTTAACGACTAATTTAAGAATTACAACTAATATAATGAATACATGTTTTTTGATAACATACAAAATCAGTCTCTATACTTCAATGACAATTTTCAAGTATACCGGGTTGCTGTAAAAACAAAATTATATCAATAAAACTTAAAGATAATTTAATTCTAAACAAGTTTACTTAATATTTTATATATATTAAACCAAAGATTTAAAAGTTTCTATATAATGAATAGATGCATACAACATAAATTGTGCAGCTCCATTATTTACAGCTTTTTCTGTAGTATTAAATACAAAAGTTTTTCTTAACAAAATGTTTTTTCACCATACTATATATAGTACAAAGATACAAATTCCCATGTCAACTTTACAACAAATATAATCCTGGATAACTAACGAGCTCATTAAAACGACGAAAAACGCTTTTTAAAACTCGTGTTATGAGGTAAATCTTTTGCAAATAATTAGAGAGCTGGTGTAAAAAAATTAAATAAAAAAATATCTAGATGAAAATATTTTTTAAGATCCTACAGCAACTCGGTATACACTTAAATCACTTTTAAAATGAGCATTTAACTTACTTATTACTAATATGTGGAATATTTAGACAAAGTTGTACTTTTTTGTTTGATCGATTGTAACTTTTAAACTACTTCATCAAAATTATTAAAATATTTGAAGAAAGTTTATAAAATTGAACAATAAAGAAAAGTTTCTTACATCTGAAGACCTTACAGCAACTCGGTATACTCTAAAATCGCATTTGAAAATAGAGAAAAGACCTATGCTAGTCACTGTTTAGAAACGTGCATTTTTTTGTTTGAATCTTTGTAACTTTTGAACTATTTGCTAAAATAAATATAAATGTTTAGAGAAAGTATAGAAAATTGAACAATAAAGAAAAGTTTTTTACATCTCAAGACCCTACAGCAACTTGGTATACACTAAAATCACTTCTAAAAATCAGCATTTAACTTACTTTCATCTTTACCTGTTTGTGGAATATTTAAGCAAAGTTGTACTTTTTTGTTTGATCGATTGTAGTTTTTAAACTACTTCATGAAATAAATTGAAATATTTAAAGAAAGTTTATAAAATTGTATAATAAAAAAAACTTTTGAACATCATAAGATCCTGCAGCAACTCGGTATACTCTAAAATAGCATTTGAAAAAGAAGAACAGAATCTATGCTAGTCGCCATTTGAAAACGTGCATTATTCTGTTTGATTCTTTGTAACTTTTGAACTATTTGGTAAAATTAATAAAAATGTTTAGAGAAAGTATAGAAAATTGAACGATAAAAAACAGTTTCTTACATCTCAAGACCCTACATCAACTTGGTGTATCCTAAAATCACTCCTAAAAATTAAGAATTTAACTCACTTTCATAATTAATTCTGTGGAATATTTAATAAAATAGAAAAAATTAATGTGTCAAATAAATTAAAATTATTAAAAACGTGGAACAAAACACAACTTTGCTAATATTAGCAAATATAACTAAATATTAATTCATTATTATTAAAATATTTTTAAAATAGCATAAATTTTTTATGAGTAAATTGGAATTTATTATAAACTATTTATATATTTTTCACAAATTATTTTTACATAAGAAAATCTACTGGTCCACGGTTTAGGCACGACTAGCAAAAATATATTTTTTCTATTTAAGGACAAATAACTTTTTACAGGATAAAAATACAACTTTTTGGTCTAAGAAACAAAAAATTAAAATAAAATTTTCTATCAAACTGTATAAAACAAAATTTTCTACAACATTCCTACACATTTCTACAAGCATCCAAATATTACATTTATAATAATTTTATTGTCTAAATCTTCGATCTTTTTGCTTACTTATTTTTAATCCTCCAGCTCTCGCACTAAGGGTGAAATATAACATATGATTGACATGTATGCTTTTTAGAAAATGTTGGAATTTTCCATCGCCTTTCATTAGAAATCTTTTCATGAATGGATTTTTGATGTAACAACCTCTTATTAATCCTCGAGCGATACAAAAAATAATTGCCTATTTAAATCCCTAAAAATTCCCTTTTCTATAAGACTGGTTATATATTTTAAATTCAATGATCATATTATGAAAAAAAATTTGTAATTGACTAAATTTATAGAAATATGAAAAATAAGCAAAGTAAATTAATATAATAATTTATAGTATAACAATTTATACTTTCAAATATAACAAAGAAATTTGAGAAAATTATCAATAGATTTTTTTATAGCATTTTATAAAATAATTATTTGGGGAATCTTTTAATACTCAATAGTATAGTTTAATTACAAACTAATTTGAAAAATTAAAAATTATATAAAGTATAAAATTATAACCTGTGTTTCAAAATAAGCTCAAAATTTTTGTCTAAATTTATTCCTTTTTAGTTAGCAATTTGATTTAAAGTATTTCCATTATTGCTTCACTTTAATTTTGCAACTGTTTTATATATTTTGTATCAATTTTTTTTTTTTTTTATATAATTTTTATATTTTTTTCAGGTTCAACGTTACGAAGCAGCTTCTACAATTTATGGACCACACACACACACTTTATATATTCAGCAATACCAAAAATTGGCTAGAGCTTTGGCAAAGGTAAGTAAAAAAAATAGTAACTAGTGGTGTATAGCATCGTGCCTTAAGGCAAATTTCTGGAACTTCCCTTACCGTAATGAAATATTCGAGAAATTTTAAACGTTTTCAAATATATTATTACAAATACTGTAACTTTCATTATTTTTGCACTATCTTGTTATATCTGAGCAAATCAAATGTAAATCATAAAACAATTTATCTCCAGAACATCAACAATCGTCATTTCATTTCGATTACAATTTAAAAAAAAAAAATAGTTGCCTAATTTGCACAAAATTGAAAAAGTGCTGCCAGTCACAGTCTAAACGCATTTGCAAATAATTCTGTGCGACATTTTCACTTATACTGTGCTTAGCTTGGCGGCATTTTCACATTTTTCAATAGTTTTCGCAAAATTGAAAAAGTGCTCCATTACATATACAGTCTAAACGCACTTGGGTAAACATTTGTACTAGAGTGGCGCTTAGACTGTGCTTAGCCTTGATGATTTTTGGAATTTTTAATCCAAAATTACAAAATATTTTATGGAAAATAATAAAAATGTAATAATCTTTTATCATCTGAAAACTAAAAAATAACTGAGAATTTTTTTGAAAATAATCAGCAATACCAAAACTTGCTCAGAGCTTTTTTTGGGTTTGTAAAAAAAGTCAAAAATAGTAATAAAAATATTTTAAAATATTCAATTAATTTAAAAATTGGTTAGGGCATTGACAAAGCGAAGTAATAATAGTAAAACTAGTAAAAATAGACCAAACAAACAAACCTTACAATTTATAATTGAAAATGCTCCAAAATAGAAACATTAAAACGTACTAAATAATTTAGCAATACCAAGAATAGTTTGTTCAAAACTTTGTAATAAAAATAGTATGAGAGTTTTTACAAATTTATTTATTTAAAATCCATACGTTTCGGCTAGCATCTTAGCCTTCATTCAGTGGCAATCATTTTACTATGAAAATTAATACTAGATAAATATATATAAGAAATTTCATAGAAAAACAAAAATAATAATAATAACACTTGCAATCTTGTATCCTAATACAACATATGAAAACATTATTAATCCATGGTATGAGTATGTGCACATTGATAAAATATATATTTTTTAACATCACAAATGGTAAAACACACAAATGGAGGAGAAACTAGCCAAAACCTAAGTAAACATCTTCATCAACATAAATATAACTCAAAAAATGCTAAACAATTCAAAACGATGCTAACCGATCATATTAATAATTTAAACTTAAATACAGATTTTTTCAGCCCAAAATTTTATATTTTGAAGAGAACATAATTAAAAGAAGATTTGCTGAGGGGTTGTTTTTGCAATTGCATAACGACAGGGTTATAAACAAACGATTTGATAATACGGCCTTGAACAAAACAAACACGTGGTTCCTAAATAACGTGTCAAAATTTCTTAAAAAATGACAAGATCCCTTCGTTTTTTAATTTCTCGTAAATTTTGAACACATGCTAAAAACAGCTTCAAAGAAAATGTGACATTTCTATCTTAAATTCCGAACAGTAAATACATAGTTTCGACAACTTGTTAAGTTATCATATTTATTTGTGTGTTTTACCATTTGTAATATTAAAAAATATATATTTTACCAATGTGCATATACTCATACCAAGGATTAATAATGTTTTCATATATTATATTAGGATGCAAAATTGTAAGTGTTTTTATTATTAGTATTATTATTGTTTATCTATAAAATTTCTTACATATTATTTATCTACTTTTAATTTTGCTAGTTAAAGTGATTGCTATTGAATGAAGGCTAAGATGCTAGCCGAAACGTATGGATTTTAAATAAATTTCTAAAAACTCTCATACTATTTTTATTGATATAACGCCCGACTTTTTAACTCAAATTAAATATATATATATATATATATATATATATATATATACATATACACCTAAATAATATAGTTTAATTTATCTCCTAGCTTTCAACAATCTTTCCACAAATAAAATAGAGTTGTTCTCTCTGTAAACAATATCTTCTAAAATGCAAATACTAGAATCGTATAGCACTCAATTTATATGAATGAGGAAGATTGCATATTATGCAATAATAATAATAGAGATATGAGAAAACCTTCGACCATAATTTTAGTCCGAGGGGCAGCGACATTGGAAACATTGATAGAAAATTTTGCGTACAAGTTCTGACTTTTCCAAGGCAATTTTTAGGTATACAGAGTTGCTGTAGGGTCTTGGGATGTGAGAAACTTTTCTTTATTGTTCAATTTTATATACTTTCTTTTGATGTTCTTATTAATTTAAACAAATAATTTAAAAGTTAAAAAGAATCAAACAAAAAATGCACGTTTTCTCTCGGTGACGAGCATAGGTTCTTTTCTCTATTTTCAAACGCAATTTTAGATTCAATTCAATAATAAATTTACTGATTAATTTACTATTTTACAATCCTGATAAAATGCACTAAATTTTTATGAAATTTTCCACAATACTTTCGTACATTTTTTTTAAACCAGAGCTTCCCAAAGTTGAGGGATGTTAAAAAATTTTAATCCATGGTTTGACAAAAAGGATTTTATCTTGAAAACTTGGAGCAATTATATTATTATTTTAGACTGTGGTCTTAGAAATGTTATTTAGGGTTACGGTTCCAAAGCTTAAGTTAAAAAAATTTAGAAATATTACCCACAATAACCGAAAAATAAACTTTATTGCACCAAAGCTCTGAGGTTGCACTTGAAAGCTCATAATTTTCAAACAACGTGAGGTAAATTTTTTTTCTAAATTTTTTCAGGTCAATACTGTCACCTGTTTTCAATTTGACGTTGAAGTTCTGGAACACCCTGTATATTTATAAAATAAGCAAATTCAGACAACTTTTATTGAAATTTGTGAAATATTAAAATTTTATCCCCGCGCGCTTTCTCCGCAAACTCCTATTTTTACCCATCAAACAAACATGCAAAAACCGAATTTCATATTTTTATAATTTAACCAAAACTTTAAAAATACCCCAAAAAATATCAAAAATTATATATCTTTATTATTTTATTATTTACAGATTTTTTTACCCGCGTCTCTCGTATTATTTTGCGTACTTGCAATTTATGTTACCGAACTACTTATCATAATATTTTGCGGAATGGAAAATTTTTCGCATTTCTACCCACGGAAAATTATTATAAAGGCATTTTGAAATGAAAATACGCAGATGCTGATTTATAAAATCATAAAAAACACTAAAAGTTACTAAAATCGACAATAGAGCTACACGATATTTAATTTGCATGCGAAAATATTTTTTCAAGAGGAATTATATTACAGAATTGATTTTTTTTAAGAAAAAAGCTTCAGTAATAAATTTTTTTAGGTGCACACGTTTTTATTGAAGCTTATAGAAAAATAATAAATATAAAAATATATACTTTTTGTATAAAAATCAAGAAAATTACGTATAAAATATATCAAAGACAAAATATATCAAAGATAAAATATATCAGTCTTATTTCGAGAGTACTTGTTGTGATTTGAATTTTATTCAAGCTTTAAATTTACCAAAAATCATTTTTTTTGTATGCAGTATTAAATTATAAGTTTCACACAATATTTAGTCAAAATTTCAAGTTTTTTTTACGCAAACTGTGGTTTGACAAGCTCCTCAAAAACGTATATACATAATATAAAATTTGTTTCCAAATGTTCTCATATATTTTACAATTTTTTTTTGTACTTTTATGTTCATGCTAAAAATCTGTAAGTTTAGTATGTTATTGCATAAAGCTTATACTAATAACACAAATACTAAAATCGATGATGTTTGGTGTTTAGAATAAAATAAAATAACTTTTTTCCACGACTACAAAAAAATTTTGTCAAGAAAAATGTTTATTAAATATATCGAAGACTTCAGTCTTAAATCAAAAGTACTTGTTGTGATTTAAATTTTATTCAAGCTTTAAATTTAACAAAAATCAATTTTTTTGTATGCAGTATTAAATCATAAGTCTCATACAATATTTTGCTAAAATTTCAAGTTTCTCTTACGCAAAATGTGGTCTGAAGAGCTCCTCAAAAATGTATATAAACGAAATGAAATTTTTGTTTAAATGTTCCCATATATTTTGCAATTTTTTTTGTACCTTGCTGTTGATGTTAAAAATATGTAAATTTAATATGTTATTGCTTAAAGCTTATACTAATACAACATATACTAATATCGATGATTTTTCATGTTTAGAATAAAATAAAAATATTTTTTTCAACGACTATACAAAAATTTAGTCAGGAGTACTTGTTTTTAGCTTTCAAAAGTTATTAAGGCTTTCAATATAACAAAAATCAATTTTTTTGTACTTGACATGAAAATATAGTTACCAATCAACATTTCACCTAAATTTCAAGTTTTTATTACAAACAATGTGGTCTGAGGAGCTCCTTGAAAATATAGGTAAACAAAATTTCGTATGTATTTGCATTGAAATTTGAAGACTTTCATGTGCGCGTGTACAAATTTTAATTTGGTATTTTTTAAAAATATAAACAAATTAATTATTGCAAATTTAAATACTAGATATCAAAATATATAAGTTGTGGTATGATATACTAAAGTTATAGTATTTTAGTATAAATAGTACGATTTTACGAGCTCTTTGAAAATGCATATGCCAACCGAGTATAAAATTCTAGTATAATAAAGATAAAATTTCGAGTCAAAAATTTCAGGTACAAATTTGGGATTTAATATTTTTTATATATAATTTTTTTTGGCATTATAAATTTAGTCAATAAAAATCAAAATACATAGTTTGAAATATAATATATTAAAATTTGAGCACTTTAATATAAATGCTACGGTTTTACGAGCTCTTTGAAACTATATTATGTAAACCAAGTTTAAGGAAAAATAAAGTCAGACATGTGGGTACAAATTTTGGATTTGGTATATAATTTTCTTTAGTTATTATAAATTTAGTTAATACAAATTAAAATCCATAGT